CCCAGTGGATCGGACAGGGACACGACCACTGGCGAGTCCAGGTGAGGTGCCCCAGTGCGTCGGGTGTGAGAGGGGGAGGGGGGAGGCAGTCGTGCCTGGCGCAACCTGCCGATGCCTCCGAAGACCAAGCGCTGGCGACGAAGCCTGCTGGCCGATATTGCTTGAGTGTGGCTTGATTGTAGACTGAAGTCAAACTGATGCTGCCGGTTTAGAACTGCTCCTTTTTATACAATGCTCGTTGGGCGGAGCGGAACTTGAAATTGAGGAGGAAGAATTTTCAGGGCGCTGATTGGCTAGCGCGCTTGATGATGTAGATGGGGGCTAGCAGCGAGCGCAGTATAAATGCGAACGTTTGGAGCAATTTGATTGGTTAGCGCGCGTGATGGTGAAAAGTGACATGAAGAGTGTGCGTTGCAGAAAAACCATGATAATGTGGGATTTTCCCACATAACTACAGCCTAATAAAAGTCTATGAAGCTATTCATAAAAATTAAATAATAAAAAAAAGGGCCCTCTGTATCCATGACAAGAAGAAGAAACTGCTGAAAATCAGAGATTTTAAAACCTTCCTTGATATACATATTAATCAGAGGTGAACAAGCTTCTAAATATGAGCCACCTACAACAATGCAACTAGCAGAAGCGATCTCAGAAACTCACTCAGTTTACTTGAAAACAAAGGAATTATAAATACTCCCATATCAAGGTGGTATTTTAAACAGTGTTTCAAGGGATTCTTTAAGATAATCATTTTTAATATAATTACAGGAAACAAATCAAGTGCAATAATTTACAGTTAATTCCCTATTTAATGTTCCTTTGGAGCAGACCTGATTTTAATACAAAACTGAGGAAACTCTTTAATTATGAGCAATTTGATGTTGATATTATGAAACTGAATGCAAAACAAGGTAAAGCCATCCATCTGCTTAATGTAGAAGTACTATGCCATGAGAATTTAGTCCTACAACAGATCTATAGAATGATCAAATGCAATCAAGCATTTGACTGGTACAGTGGGGAGTGGAGTCAAATTGGGTCCACTCGGCACGGTGGCCACTGATTGGCCTATTGTGGCCTGCCCCAGTTGATTATGATCCAGAAAATGCTTGGAAGTTCTTGAGTAGTTTCTAAAGGGTTCTGACGATGGTTAATGACACACAGAACTACTGGATTATTTCTTGAATGTCTGCACAATTGGCAGCTTCGCAACAAGAGCTAAGCTCCATGAGTGAGTAACAGATGATCTTGACTGATCAAGACAATCCTGACGAATCCTGAATACGTTTACCTCGGCATTCGCTTTTTTTTTTTAATTTTACTTCCCATCTGTATACTTACTTACTCATGGAGCTGAGCTCTTCTGGAGGAGCCGCCAATTCTGCAGATACTCAAGAATTTCCCACCATTTTATGGGACCCAAAGGTTCATTACTGTGTTCACAAGAACCCTACACTGGTCCGTATCCTAAGCCAGGTCAATCCAATCCATATCATCCCATCCTATCTCTCTAAGATCTATTTTAATATTGACCACCTACCTTCATTTTCGTCTTCCTAGTGGTGTCTTTCCTTCTGGCTTTCCCACCAATATCCTATATGCATTCCTTGTCTCCCCCATTCTTGCTTCATGTCCTGCCCACCTCATCGTCCTTGACTTAATCATTCTAATTATACTTGGAGAAGATTACAAGTTATGAAGCACCTCATTATGCAGTTTTCTCCAACCTCTTGTCAGTTCATCTCTCTTCAGTCCAAATATTCTCCTCAACAATCTGTTCTCAAACATCCTCATTCTATGTTCCTCCCTTAATGTCAGAGACCAAGTTTCACACCCATACAGAACCACAGGCAAAATTATAATTTTGTATATTCTAATTTTTATGTTTTTGGACAGCAGATGGTTTGGGACTAAATAGTAGCAAGCAATACCCGAGTTCAGTCTCCCCCTAATTTCCTCCTTAATCAGGTTTCGATCTGTTATTGTTGAAAAATATCTGAACTGTGCCACATTTTGAAAACATCTGTTTCATATCTTTATGTCATGATTTTTCCCCGCATTTTGGTAATGAGACAGCAACATATACTTAGTTTACGCTGTGCTTACTTCTAGACCTACCCCTTTCGTTGCGTGAATTAATATTAGTGTGTTTTTCTTTATGGTATCTACATTATCACCCAGTAGATTTACATCATTGGCATAGGCCAATAGGTGATGTGTTCCATTTAATTTCAGTCCCACCTGGTTTCCCTGGACTTTCCTAATGGAATATTCTAAAGCAAAGTTGAAAAGGAGTGGCGATAAAGGATCTCCTTGTTTGAGACCATTCTGGATAGAAAATTTATCAGACAAATGTTTATCTACACAGAGTTTAGTATACTTGTACATTTCATTTAAACGCATTTTAATTAACATAACCAGTTTCATGGGTATCCCAAATTCTATCAGAATATTGTACATTGCTTCCCTCATAACTGAATCATAGGCTTTCTTGAAGTCTATGAATAGATGATATACTGTCTCATCATACTCCCATTCTTTTTCCAATATCTGATCTGTAGTTGATCTCTTACATCGAAACCCAAACCAATGATCCCCAATAAGTTCATCTATATATGGAACATGAGAGAAACATGTTGGATAAAATTTTGTATGAAGTTGATAGCAGTGATATCCCATGATAATTACTACAGTCAGTTTTATGACCCTTGTTGTGAACTGGTACAATAATAGACTCCTTCCACTGATCAGGCAATTTTTCCCTATTCCAAATAGAAGTAATTAGATTGTGGATCTTAGTACATAATATTTCGCGTCCTACGTGAGTAAATTCTGCTGGAATTTGATCACTACCTGGCGATTTATGCTGGTTTAATTTTGCAATAGCACTTTTAACCTAAAAAGTGCTAGGATCAGGTATTAACAGCTCAGCTATATGGATTTCTGTCTGCCTGACATTACTGACCAAGTGTACAGTCAATAACTGAGAGAAGTAGTTCCTCCACC